GATTGATTTTGACAAGTGATAAAATTCCCAACTTGGGGAAATTTTGTTTTAGGAGTTTCCAGTTCAGGAAACAAAATCTTATCCTGTGATGCCACTGCCCAGGTGTGGCTGGGCAACCTCCCCTAGTAAATATAAAGTTAAGAAGCAAGTTGAGCGCATATTTCCAAAGTAAAGCTGACAAGAAAAAGGTCCATACTATGTTTTGAATTGAATGAAGTTTGTACAAGGGTTGGTTCATGCATAAGTTTGGGACTTCTTGGGATAGTTCCAACAAAAACTTTTTTTCTTTCACTTGCATAGCCTCATCATTTGGCAACCCTTCTGTTGCAGGTCAACTAGATGTCACCTGCTGACACAGAATTTGACTTGGGCATACCAGATGTCACCCAATCAAAAAGAAATAACGTGAATTATGTAAAGAAGAATTAGGCACACATCAGCCTTGAACAAAACTTTCCACTGAGGAGGACCTGAACGTGCCCAAAACCACCAGGAAAACTGGAGAAGGACTCACTTGTCATCTTAACTCAGAAGAGAACAGGCCTACATTTTACTGTGTGCAAATATTTTTTGAACTTGTTTGAAAGGAAACACAAACCAATGTCAAGGCATTTGAACACCTCAGGCCAAAAATGGCCAATATTGTGTCTACCTTTCTTTTGCCTCTGTAAAAGGAAACCCTTAGCCCTTTGTCAGAGAGGCCCCAGAGCCACTGACATCTTCAGTGCTATTTCAACACACTCTCTACCAATTTGATGGCATTTTTTAATGCGCTAAATCCAACAATCCAAAAATTGCCAAAATTTCCAAGTGCCAAAATTGGGTTTCATTAGTTGATTAAGCTGCTCTTTGATGGTGGAAATGAGACCGTCCCTGTCCTCAGAATCAATCCCTTTCAGGTCATTCTTCACTGTAAAGAACAGCCAGAAGAAGTCACAGGGATGCCTGTATAATCAACTAACAGAGCTCAAGTTTTGGCACTGTTTTGATCATTGGATTTATTGCATGAAAAAATGCATTGAAATCAGCGCAGAGCATGGTGAAACAGCACCAAAGTGTTGCCAAATGATGAGGCTGTAAGAGTACAACATATATTTTGGAATTCTTGAAACTCTGTTGCATCTATTTCAAAGAAAAGGTCTCAAAATTCATGAAACAATCCTTGTATATTGACAGCATTGAAGAATAATAACACACAACTGCCAGAGACATCTAGCAAGGCTCAAAAATCAAAATTTGCACAAGCTTGCATTAAAATACATGGAAAAAAATCCCCCATGTTGGGAAGACTTTTAAAATTTTCATGTGCCACTATATAGCTGAAAAAAGGTTTAAGCAAGTGGAGATGGTTTTGGCAGAACTCAAGAATATACAATTCAACTGTCACAGAAATCTGGCAGACTTTTTTTCTGGTTCCCTGTAAACGTTACCTGCAACACTGAATGTAAAATAAGTCAACAAACATTTTACTGCATGTAAAAGTGAACAGGAAATAAAACAAAAAAAATAAACCTGCGCAGGTCTTCTTCTTCCAGGCATTCTTTTCAGCTTCCAGACGTCTTTCAAAAGAATCTTGCTCAGCAGATATTCTTTCAGCAACCTTGGCCTGGAGATAATCCCTGAGGGTGTCCAGAAGCTTCCCATTGCCAGGATTCAGGTTGGACTGCTTGAACTCAGCCAACAATTCCTCCCGCATATTTTCCTTCTCTTGTAATAATTTTTTGGTGATTCTTCCAACAAAACAGATTTTTTTGCAATTTATACTGTATAGAGAAAGCAATGAACCAATTTTCATGAACAGTTGGAGTCTTTTGCTTCAGCTCTTTCTCAGTCAGCTAAAAATGAGTGACTGACAATTTTGATTTTTTTAAATTCTCAGGTACACCTGAAATTTTAGTTGTCAAAATGAGAATAAAATGTTTACATTGGTGACTTGGCTATAAAGTATTTTTTCTGCCATACATATCAAGTCCTATAACTCTTGAGTGCATGTAGATCATTCAAAGTCTCAAAGTTATATTCATTTATCTGAAAAAGAGAAGGTTAAAAAATACTGCCCTCTTCAACATCATGAGCAGAACCTCCTTCCTTTGTATAAGAAACAGCATCAGAGCAAATTAAAACAATATTTAAATGCATTTAGTCACAGTCTAAATCAAAGAACACTTGAGATAATGAAGTTATTAATGCTCCAGCATAAAACAGTACATGGAAGAAAAAACATAATCTTTATCATACTTTTGATTAAAGATACAAAAAGCATAAATTCTCAATGAAAGATACATATAATACATTGACCAGTCTTTTGGGTTGAAAACTGAGAGCTGTTTCCCAATAAAGTTTGCTTAGTATAGGTGTTAAAAGCATATACAGGGTGGACTAAAAAAATGAACCATTTTTGGACTCAAAAAGCTTTTTAGCAAATTGAGCTGTGGAAATGGATATACAGTAACACCAAATTGAAGCTTGTTCAATCCTCTTCAAAATGGAATGTAGTTCTTTGTTCTCAAGTGCCATGGCATGGTCACAAGAACCATTTGAATTAAAACTTGAAAAAACAATTTGCAAGACAACTCCTATGACTAAGCTGCTGTTCTCTCCAGCAGAGCTGTTTTTAGGGATAAATGAAAAAATAAATGAAATGACATGCAAACCAGTAATTCAACCAGCAAACTTCAGGCTGCCTTCAAGAGGAAAGCCAAAAATTTAGGAGGTGGAGGTGAAAAGTGCAAAAAGAATTGAACAAAGGGAAATATTGCTCCACTCCTAAATCCTGATGCAAGCTTGATGGGTGATGCCAGCCTCATGGCTCCTAGCTGTGACACCCTTTTTTCAAAGAATGGCTAAATTTTTGGCACACCCCATATAGATCTCAAAATGTTAACCTGACTTCTAGAAAAAATATATTTATTCCAAAGGTACAATGATACTGTAATTGGCAAGATTAGCATACCTCTTGTTCACTTCCACTCCAATAGTCTTTGCCAAATGACTCAGCCTTTCACGTTCCCTGCGCTTCTGCTCCTCTTCAGAGAGTTTGACAACAGACTCTGGAAACTGTTTCTCCATATTTTCAGTGGCCATGTGAACAATTTCATCAATTGGGGAATTCCTGTCAAAGGGCCAAGAGCCTGACTGGGAATTCCTGACAGTTATCAGGATCTCCAGCAATGACATGCCTTTGCTGCTGGCATTCTCTGGTGAAGAATTAATCAAACTGAGGTACTTGAAAGATGTGGCAAGGTGGTGAGAAGGGAACTTGCACTTGAGGTCTTGCTCCAACTGGTTCATGAAGCCCTGCATGTTTTTTAAAAACTAGATTTAAAGTCTATACGTGAATCAAACTCACTAATAATTTTTTTTATGTCCAGTATTTCTCTCCTTCGTTATCCTTACCCTTATTCTAGTTACTCGAAGACGTTATTTTTTTTCCAGTTCATATGCGTTTTGATCTTCTGACACTCATGCATGATACACAACCAAATCTGAACAAGGAAAACAGCAGAACCAAGTATTAAAAGAGCAGGCGTACAGTATAAAAGGCAAAGCGTAAAATGAACACATAACAAAAAGAGCCATTTAAGAGAGCAAGAAAAAAGCATGTATAAAAAGGGCAAGTGTATGAATGGCAAGCCTCAAAAGATCAAGTTACAAAAGAGCAAGTTTCAAAGGAGCAAGTTTCAAAAGAGCAAGAAGTATCAAAAGAGCGATACAAGTTTCAAAAGAGCGATAAAAGTTTCAAAAGAGCAAGTTTCAGAAGGGCAAGTTTTTACAGAGGAATAAGTTTCAAAAGAGCAAGTTTCAGAAGGGCAAGTTTCAAAAGAGCAAGTTTTAGAAGAGCAAGTTTCAGAAGGGCAAGTTTTTACAGAGGAATAAGTTTCAAAAGAGCAAGTTTCAAAAGAGCAAGTTTCAAAGGAGCAAGTTTCAAAGGAGCAAGTTTTAAAAGAGCAAATTTTAAAAGAGCAAGTTTTACAAGAGCAAGTTTTAGAAGAGCAAGTTTCAAAAGGGCAAGTTTTTACAGAGGAATAAGTTTCAAAAGAGCAATTTTCAAAAGGGCGAGTTTTTTTTTACAGATGAATAAGTTTCAAAAGAGCACGTTTCAGAAGGGCAAGTTTTTACAGAGTTTACACGTTTCAAAAGAGCAAACACAGTAAGAGTATAGGAACAAGAATATGAGACACTCAACAAGAGAGCACAAGAGTAGAGCAATAGTATCCCTTACAAAAACTTGAAAATTTCACTCATGCACTAAATTGTACATTCAAGCCTTAGAGGTAATTTGAATATGAAACCATTGCTGCAAAAGAAAGAAAGGTTACCATAGATAGAGTTTCAAGTAACATTGTGGCTATATGATGTGAACATCATAGGGACCTCAAAAAAAAGGAATTTCTTCTAAACAATAATTCGTCATAACGAGACTTCAATGTACAGCAAAACCCGCACAATATCATAACTCACATCCCGACTGTTTTTCGCAGCTTCTCGCAGTCTCGCAACCAGAGTGGTTTTACTATTGAGACGCTCTGTTTCCAGAGTCGCCTTCAGTCGAGCTTCAAAGTCTTGCGCCAAATCGGATCGCAATTTCTTCATCGCCATTTCGTGTTCATGCTGCAGCAAATCAGCAAGTTGCGCTTGATGATTCAAAGCTTCCGCAAGCTTCCCTTGTTCGCCGTTGAGGATGTTCCGCATTTTCGCATTTGCCTCTTCCTGAAGCTGCTGCTTTTGCAAAGGCAAAATTTGTTTGGAATTATTCTCGTCAAAAAATATAATCAAGAGTCAAATTAAAAGCCTCAGAAATTTTAATTTTTTCAAAATAAATCAACTAAAAACCAGAAAATAGAAGACTTTTTGGTCTTGCAGAATTTTTGGAGATTGAGACATGGTATAGTGAAAAATAAATTTTTGTCACTTTTTCAATATTTTCACTCATGGAATAAAGAGAACAAACCAATTTTAAAGTGCATTTATCAAACAAGGGTTGTCCCAAGTCTTTAATATTGCTAAAAATGTTGAAAATATTGACATTTATGGGATTTTCTTCAAACTTCAACTCAAAAAATTTATCCATTAAAAGCACAAAGAAAAATTGCTTACAGATCTAAAAAAATCTAAGCATTTCAGCAAGTCATTAACATACAATTTTAAGTGTAAAATTGTGAGTCAACTTTATGCAAAATATGTTGAGTCAACTTCATGCAAAAAATTGCAAGCCAATTAATGCATGAATTGTGAGTCAAGTTGGTGCATAAAATTGAGTCAAGTTGGTGTAGAAAATTGAGAGTCAACTTTATGCATTAAATGCATAAATTGTGAGTCAAGTTGGTGTATAAAATTGTGAGTCAAGTTGGTGTATAAAATTGTGAGTCAAGTTGGAGTATAAAATTGTGAGTCAACTTTATACATCAAATTGAGAGACAAGTTTGTGTAAAAAATTGTGAGTCAAGTTTGTGTAAAAAATTCTGAGTCAACTTCCTGTATAACATTATTAGTCAAGTTCCTGTATAACATTGTTAGTCAATTTTATGCATAAAATTTAGAGCATAAAATTGAAGTGATCACTATTATTAGGGAAAAGTTCAAAATTTTCTATAATTTTTACCCATATTCTTTCAATTAATTGTGGCTCAAATTGTTCAAATACTGTACTGTACTTCATTTTATTTATTTTTTTAAATTGAATTCTTACCTCAGATTTATCTTAGAATTTTTACCTGAACTTCAGCATCAAACTTTGCTTGAAAATCATGTCTAAGATTTCTCTCCTTGTTGGCCAATGCAAAATTGCGGTCACGAGCAAACCGCTTCTTCTCCTTCGCTACAAAAGCAATCCATTTCTTGTTCAAACTCTTCACCTAGAAAAGAAAATTTTGTTTACAACTCAATGTTTTTTCAATGAGGAAAAAAAGTGAAGATTTTAAAACCTTTTGTTCGAGTTTTGCGCGATAAGACTTCTTGAGACACAAGAACCGCTTGTGCAGTTGCTTCTCCTGTTTGACAAGGGACTCATTTTGCTTTTCACAGAGCGCCTTCTCAAGCTCTTTGATGCGAGCAGAAAATGTCTGCTGCAACTCTGCTCTCAGCTTCAGTGTGTGCTCCTTGGCCTTTTGCTCAGACTTTTGCTCCACACTGCTTTCAACGTCCTTCACCTGGAAAACACATCAAATGTTCACTTCAGCAAAGAAATGGACACAGGAAAAGTCTGTCATTTATTATTGTAAGCAAAAAATAATAGAATAAACATAAAAATTCTGGCCTCCTCCTTGAATCAGGATTTAAAATTTAAAATTGAACTTTCTTTCTGGCTTAACAAAATGTGAATAGAACAGAGTTTCCAAATAGAAAAGTTTCACAACAGAAGAAACAAAATTTCCCCAGTGGAACAATCATATTGTGTTCTAATAAATGGTTTCCCTATTGAATTATTCTGATTTTCTTATCGAAATACAGTTTTCTGATTTTATGATTGGAAAATTCTGATTTTCTCATTCAAATTTTAGGAAAGGAAAATAATTACTGCACTAAACATTCAACTGATATCTTCATTGAAATCTAATTCTCTTGTTGAAATATGATTTGCTTCTCAGTGATTTATCTGAATTTGGAAGCAGTAAGTACATGCATTCTCAGACAGGATAAAAATTAGGAACAACATTCCCATTATCTTGAAGGGAACACTGGAGAAACTTGCAAAAATTGATGAATTGAAAATCATGTTCAAGATTTAAAAATAACAAGATTTATACACCACTCTGTTTGACATTTGTTATGTGTTGGAAAAAAGTTCTGAAGAAACAGGACTTTCTGTGATGAAAAGAGACCCATGCAACCAATTTGTTTAATATACAGTATACCAAAAAGCATGAATTTCACCATTTTCAAGTTAAACTTAGAAATTTTACTTTATGTAGATTTATACATTTTTACTCAAATGCAAGGCAAAAGAGAAAATGAACTGAAAAATGTTTGATGCTCCTTGCCCAGAAACTTTTAAATTTCAGAGAGTTGAGAGCTCCAATTGATTACTTAAATTTTATGCTTTTACTGTAGCTTGCTGATGTATATACACAGGTTTCAAAATAAGGACCAACATGAATTTTTTCAATTGTCTGAAATTAATTGAATGTTTTTTTTTCAATTATAACTTGAGGGAAATCACATTTGAACAATGAAATTAATCCTGTAAAGGATTCATTGTATGAAAGCACAATGAATAAAAATATGAACATAAAATTCTTGTTAAACCACAATAAGAACATTCAGCTCAGTTGGCCTTGATGCCTGATTTTAACCAGAATTTCAAAACCAGGGTTTCACCATTTTTTCCTTGTCTTCAATGATGGATTTCAGGGCTTCCAACCGCTGGACGAGGTAATCAATACCTTCTTCAGACGCCAAAAACTTGGTGCGCAATTTAGTGTACTCTTGTATCAAAGTCGCATTTTCCTTTTCTAAAATGTCAAGCTCAGTTTGACAACCCTGAAGTTGCTTTTGGAGCTCCACTGCAACAATCACTTCTTCATCCCTTGGATTATCTGTTTTTTTGATAAATTAAAACAAGAATATAAGTTTTAAAAACAAGTTTTCACAGGCATGGGATTGTTTTGGTGTTTGACTTACCTTGAGGATGAATGATCAACAGATCCAATGATGTCTGGTTCCCAACGTTGTTCTTCTCATGGAATTCAATGCTTCCATCTTTGAGGGTGTCATCGAAATCTTCCATTGTATCCACATATTTATCAGCAAGAGCAGGATCTAAAACTTCCAGGCTTCTTTTGGGATTGCTGATCCTCAGGGCTTCAATCTATAATCAATGTTAGATGTGGTAATCAGTGAATTGTCAATTTTTTCCAGGCTTGCTAATAGAAAAGGTATTACCTGAGGAATTGAGATACTGTATACATAAAATGGTCATTTTTCTAGACTTATTGGAAATAGTATTTACCAATAAGTCATTAAAAGTTTATTGGAATTTCTCATTTGTTCCAGATCAATATGAAACCCATCCTTGAACAATGAACATTTTTGCTGCAACAGACTTGGTGGGAACTTCAGAAAACGTTTTTCAAAATGAATAATTTGTCATGAGGTTTTCAAAATGAATGTTTCAAATTATTCCTGCATACATTCAATATCTTCATCAAGTGACCATTTCAAATGTGACCATGTCTGAATCTCCTGAACAAAATTATACCTTGTCATGGACCTGAAGTCAAATTACGTATCATTGAAATGTACACTGATTTTTTTCTTATGCTGTACACAGAATATTTTGAACTTCCCTTTCTGAGAAAATTTCATCAGCTGTTTACAGGAGTACAGCAACATGTGGATTTTTTCATTGTGGTTCTCTTTTCATGCCAAAATGGCACCTTTTCATAAATTTGAGGCTTTTTGAAATAGATCCAACTGAGTTTCAAAATATGAAAGAAAAAATATTTCTTGCATAGCCACATCATTTGGCAACACTTCAGTGCTGTTCAAAACACTGTCTGCGGATTTCATTACATTTTTTCATGCGCTAAATCCAACAATCCAAAAATTTCCAAGTGCCAAAATTGAGTTCCGTTAGTTGATTAAGCTGCTCTTTGTTGCCGTCCTCAAAATCAGTCCCTTTTAGATTGTTCTTCACTGTAAAGAACAGCCAGAAGAAGTCACAGGGATGTCTATATAATCAACCAACAGAGCTCAAGTTTTGGCACAGTTTTGATCATTGGATTTATTGCATGAAAAAAATGCATTTAAATCAGCGCAGAGCATGGTGAAACAGCACCAAAGTGTTGCCAAATGATGCGGCTGTAAGAGTAAAAATTATATTTTGGAATTCTTGAAACTCTGTTGCATCTATTTCAAAAAAGGTCTGAAAATTCATGAAGCAATCCTTGTATATTGACAGCATTGAAGATTAATGACACACAACTGCCAGAGACATCTAGCAAGGCTCAAAAATCAAAATTTGCATAAGCTTGCATAAAAATACTGAACATGGAAAAAAAATCCAACACATTGGGGACACTTCTAAAATTTTCATCTGCTAATAGCTGACACATTGTTTAAGCAAGTGGAGATTGTTTTGGCAAAACTCAAGAATACACAATTCAACTGTCACAGAAATCTGGTAGATTTTTTTTCAACAGAATTTATTGCACAAAAAAATGCATTGAAATCAGCGCACAGCAAGTTATTGGAACAGCACCCAAGTGTTGCCAAATAATGGGGCAATCATAATGAATGAATGAAGAGAATACTTTATTTGCCGCTTTTCAGCGTTCACAAGGTTCAATCAAGATTTCCACAACCAAACCCCCTTCCCACCCAACCCAAATCCACTCAATGACATTTAATNAGGCGTCCTCCCAATGTTGAGCATACTCCGTCAGGATTTTGCTCCTTTCCCGGCGGAATTTGGCGTCGAATTCCTGCCGCAACTGCGCTTCCACAACTGCCTTGTGCTCTTCCAATATGGCGTCGTTTTCTTTCCTATATACAACAGGTGGTACCTTGCAATTTGACCCTCCGCAATTTGACTTCAACCATCCCACAATTCGATGGTCAAATTTGCAGGGAGGTTGACTAGCAAACATCCTTTTCTTTCCTATACAGTATATATACAGTGAGACCCCAAGATGCGGACGTAATTGGTGCATCAAGAGTGTCCCCAAGTCAAAATGTCCCTAAGTCGAGTCTCATTTTCCCTTAGACTTACATTATATAATTTTTCATAGTGGTTTTTTGTACAAAATACTTACCATAATTCCATGAAAAAATTGCCTCCCAATTTAAACTGATTCCAATCAATATATTTCAACACAATATGGGCATTTTGGGAATTTAATACTGATACCGCTGCAGAGTTAATAGAAATGTTGGCATTCTCTGTAAAAATTATATTCAAGTGAAAAAGAGAGAAGGAAGTCCCTCTCTGCTGGAGGTACTTTTTTTTAAATTAGCTAAATGGATGGTAAATTAGTGAGAGAAATGCCCCAGAACTTTTCTTACATCAATTTTTGGGTTGGAAATATCTGTTTCTTGTAATTTGGCCTGAAATATATTTGCAATTTTATAAGAAAATGTCCCTATGTTGAGTCAGTGTCCTCATGTCGGGCCATTTTTATTAATTTTTCATGATAAAATAAGTGTCCCTATGTTGAATTGTCTGCAGGTCGAGGTGTCTGCATGTGGGAGTCTCACTGTTTATATATATATATATATATATATATATATATATGCAGGTGGCACCTTGCAATTTGACCTCCTGCAATTCAACTATCCTGCAATTTTATGTTCAAATTTGCAGGGAGTTTAGACTTGCAATTCAACCCTTGCCACGCAATCCAACCTGCTTTTTCCATTTTTCTTTTGTGTTTTTGTACTTATATTTTGAATTTGATGGAGTGTCTTGCAATTTGACCAATTTGCAATGCAATCCTAGTTTGGCAAAGGATTAGGGTCAAATTGAGAGGTACCACTTGTATATGCATTGTGTGTAACATTAGCAATGCATACTTTAAAAGGATTATTTTTTTTTGGCAAGGGGGAATTTTTGCTTTAAAAATTGGAACAGAATCAAGAATTTTACATGCCCTCATAACAAATCCATTTGTCAACCATTTTCCTTGAAAACATTCCATTTTAAGAAGTAAACAAGTGACACAAATATTATTTTAGGCAAGCAGAATTTTACTTCAAAACTTGGCAGAAACCCAGGAATTTCAAGTCCAATAATAGATAGAATTTTTCATAAAAATAATTACTGAAGTTGACACAGTTTCATCAAGGTTTGACCTTACAACACACTTTAGACATGAGATATGCTGGTCATCAAATTAACCTGAGACCCATTATAGTACAGTACTGTTATCTATTCAATATACAAAGAGCAATAACACAAAATTAAAATATGTTCAACTTCCCTTTTTATGTTTGTAGCTTCTTGGTGGAAAAAATAATACAAACATGAGAAAATTAACACATTTTATTCCAGTTTTAATGTCTACAATTTGTATTTTTTCATGTTAAGAAAGGAATTTGCTAATTAATTGTACATTGAAAAAAGATGGAAGGCCAGAGTTCCATGGTTCTTCAAGAATATCCAGATAATTGTTATTCTTGTCCCCACAAAATACTTTGAATTGTGTACATTGGTACTGTACTAAAATAAACTTGCGGAATATTTTGTACAATGGGCATCCACAAAATATTGTTTTGAATGGTGGGCTGTGCTTGAAATGATAAACTGCATGAAAATTTACCAACTTTCAAAAATCAGGTTGCTATGATGTTTTAAGATTTTTGTTGGATTAAAAAAAAGTTTTTCAGTTTACTGCAGTGTCTTCACAAGGCTCAGAAAGTCATGCAATATGTTAAGAATGCCCTGACTTGGCTGTGGTTTTTATGTATGTTTCTGTCATCCTGGTTAGGAACAATGAGACTCTCCCAACCAAATCCTTTATGTTGTCTGGTCACCAGTCATTTGCCTTTGCAACCACTGCAGTTCCCTTTCCATCCTATAATTCCTATAGCAGTCAGCAACCTGTTATACACATCCAATAAATTTAAAGAAGAGTGTTCTAACACTCTTTCTGCACTCATTGCTGGTTTGGTGTAAACTGTTGATGGATTGAATTGGGATTGTACAGTTGAACCTTGCTAAGTCAAACCTCCCTCAGTCAAATACCTCCCAAAATAAAAATTTTTCCAAGTCCCTGTCTGGATTACCTTAGAAAACAATGCATTAAAAATCCTGCAGCTCGAAGTATTTTGCTTTCAAACCTCTGTAAGTCAAATTTTCTAAGGCCTTTCGGTTATTATTTCCTTGAAAAATGAAAGAGAAAATTAATAAAACAAATGATTTTATGCATCTTGAAATGAAGTGAAAGACTAATTGAACAAATGAACCCCTGTTCAACAGCAAGCTGTAAACTCATTAAGAAGCAAGTTTAGGCCCAGAATATCCTCATCTACAATTTTTCACAATTTTTTACTTTCTCTTGCAGCAAAAGTATTTGTTTCCCTCAATTAAAATCTCCCTAAGTCAAATTTTTTTCCTGGTCCCTAGAAATTTGACTTGGAAAGGTTTAACTAATCACACGCTTGCCTCAGTAACAGAGAAGTAGATTAATTTGCCTCACCCCAGCCATAAAGTTAATACTTCTTGACATAATTTAGCTTAACAAACAAACAACAAAATGAAGTGAAATATTAAAAGCAAAGGAGACATTTGAAGCATTAATCATTCCATTCGGTCCCTCTATGGCAGTTTAGGATAACAGCAGGATAAGTGAAAAACTTTCCAGTTACAACAAGGGTTCTACTTCTGTGTCACAAGGCGCTACAAATTCATCCGGCCAGCTAAAGATTAAAATCTTTTTTCATCCATGATCTTTTATAAATTTCAGATAATGGTTAAAGAAACAAATTTTTTCCAGATGGTCTGACACATTTCTAGCATTATGTGACACAGATGGGGAACTCTGGCTGTAATTGGAAAGTTTTTGTTTGTCAGCATGCAGTAAATTGAGAAACTTTTCAAAAATCTGAAATAAAAACTTGAAACATCATAGCAACCCGAGTTTTTGAAAGTCTGCCATTTATTAATTCAAGCACAGTCCACTATTCAAAACAAAATTTTGTTGATATCCATTGCACCAAATCTTCTGCAAGTTCATTTCAGTACAGTAACAATGTGCACAATTCACAGTATTTCGTATTTCAAAGTATTTTTTATTTCAAAGAGCTTCACTTCTGAGCTGGCATGATTCAAAAACTCACGTCAGGGTGGCAAATTTGCGCGCAATTTCAGCATCCTTTTCCCTTTGCAATCTGAGAACCAACATCTCCTCAGTTCGTGCC